AATCGGCACATGTCGTTACCGTGGACAAAAACTAAGCGACGCGATTCCCGATGGACTACCGAAAGCTGTTGACGACAAATCGAGGGTTAAAATACTATCGGTAAATAGAGAGAGCGGGGTGAATGCGTATCAGATGGCACCGGAGGTGGGATTATAACCCTAATTTCGGGCTATCCGCGTGACACTCTACTTTAAATGAAGTAGCTTGCTCGGCTCCCATGCCAAGGGCCAACAATCAATCCCCCGGAGCCCCTTGTTATCGGATCGAGAAATTTCTGCGATCGTGAACGCGACATTTTTAGATCGTGCGACGATATAAAATTAATCGAATCTAGGAATTAAACAACGATCAAGAACTTGAAGTGTTTACGCCTTAAACTTTATGGCTTTATTTGTCTTGAATCTTATGAGTGCCAGAAGAAGTTGCTATGAAAAGAGTTTATATTGTTCAATGTTTATATTATAGTCAATCAATTAATCGCAAAATTCGTCTCTACAGCCTTGCAAATCCTCTCCATTTTAGAATATTTGATTCGAGTAATCTAATTAAATTAATAAAAATCCCATTCATAATCCCTCTTCCAATATACCATCATTTCTTTATTGAATATTTTTTATTTTAACTCGATGGTCAGCCTGATAGAAGATAAGGTGATCCGTCAGATGCGAAACGACGTGGTCTCCTCGGTTAACTCGCGCTAGTTCCGTTAATAACGCGGAGCTGATTAGATAAAATCACCGTGACCGTGATCAACGTCGGTTAAAGTTATATTTCTCAAGCGAGACTCCACCATAAATCACGTCTCGCGGACGTCCAAAATTCTTCTGCAATCTCGCAAAGCGTTTGGAGAGGAACCGCGAGGCCTAGTTGCAACCCTTCCCCCACGAAGTGCATTCCTCTAAAATAGGCCTCTAATGTTCAAACCGAAAGATAGAAAATGTTTATCTCGAAGTTTTAGTCCAGAAACTATCAACTCTTTCTATTAATTGCAGAATCAAATACTCTCAAGATTCATTGCATGTACTACTCTTGTAATTACAATAACGGCGAAATATCTCGAGTATCACTTCAGCTACACGACACTCGTAAAAGTAATCAAACAAGCAGATATTGTATCTATAAACGAACTGTAATTGTTCACTTTTCATGTAGTAAATTAAATTAATATCGTGCATTGTGGACGAAAGCTTCCGTGACTGATTGTGAACTGGACGACAGACAGGCTCTCGATCGTGGGAGAAAAAATGAACGAATCCAGTCGAATTTTGTTTTTAATGTAGTACCTACTGACTGCATGCCTCATAGCCCGGAAAGATAATTATAGTTTCTCGATCGACGTAAGAATTTCTGAGATTTCTGCCAGCTAGCTTTCTGTGCCAACGTTGCAGCAGTGTTAGTGGCATCGTTACGGGTGTGGGTGAGAGTTCTGGCCGCCCCTGGTAGAGCGGAGGCGGACGAAGAGAGACGGAGGGGATGCTGGAGGCCAAAGTGAAGGGTTCGCCGAAGAGAGATTAGCCGGGCCGAGACTTTCGTGTTTCTCGGATCCACGAACCCGTAGATCATGATAATTGTGAGAACAATTCATCAGGTAAATTTCACGCTAAGCGGTCCCCGGATTCGTCGACGCGTACCGACCATCCACCGGCTCCATTAATCACGATCTCTGATTGTCGGCTCGGCACTCATCGGGGCGACTCCGTATGCGAACTCTGGCCCTTTTTCTTTCGATCGACCCTGACACGCGTCGCTATTCCGTGACCTCTTCTATTGTCACGCGAAACGCGATAAAAGTCACGTTCTCCAATGCACATTTATAGAAATCGTATATTAAGCAATTGCATTTTTCTTTTCAGATAAGCGAAATTATACGTATATGTATGTATGGAGAAATGAGATCGATCAATCAATTTAAATTGTGACACTGATATCTCAATAAATCCTTCAATAAAAATGTTTTATATTTTGTTCTGTATAAAATTTTTCACTCGATCCTTCACTTTGCAATTTTCCAGTAAAACCAACATGATAAATCCTAACGAATTAATTACTACTCATGGACTAATGAGCAACTAATGTACTTGATAAGAAATCGTCGAAGTTTAATGCTCAATTTGTCGAATCTCGGTTTCTACGGGTACTCGCGGTTGAAATCACTTAGCGGTCATAAACGAAGAACAACCGGACGGGTAATACGTGTTTGCACTAATAATAGGTCCTCCGTAAACACAGGGTAGCTTCTACACGCTGGCAATTATCGCGTGAGTACGCTGTGTCGACGTTTATCGATGAAGTTGCTTCATCATCGTCTCAAAATCACGTCTATGATAACGACTCTCGCCATCTTCAATGCCTCATACAATAGCGATTGCGACACAAGATATCAATTTAAAAAATTCTATTCTTATTCCATTCTATCAAAACAAGCCTCGTGGCCTCTTAAGTCTTTTCGTAAACTCTTAACATTACCATTAATCCTTTATCTCGTGGAACATCTTTTTAATTTCCAGTTTAATTACACAAAAAAGCTGTACGAAAAGAGATCGATAAACCTGAACATCAGTGGGAAAGACGAGAATATGACTTGTGGTAGGAACAATACAATATTTAGTTGAAACGATCGTGGGAGAGGCGCGCGAAAAACTTGGCCAATTTGGTCCTAAGCCCGAAACGGGGGGTAAGAATGTATAATTACGAGGCATAAAAGTAACCATCACCCACTCGAAAGCACTCACTGCGGCTTGACCCGTGCGTAACGACGACGTTCCTCGGGTCGTCGCACCCACGACTCGCAGATTCCCATCGATCTCTCGACACCAGCGCCGAAACTCCGAAGGGAGACGTTCGGCAATTTTTCGACAATGATTATACCAGCCTCGCCTGACCCGCTGTAAAAATTGTTTGCAAGGTGGACACCGAAGGAACGAGTCGAAGAAATTCTCTTGTCTCTTTCGGCGAATTTCGACACGAGTCGGGGGTGGGTTCCGTTGTTTCGTAGCCGGCAATCATCGAAATTGTACTCCTGCGTGACGCTCGCGGCTATCTTTTACACCCCTCTTACGCGATAGAACAGTCGATGCTGCATTTTTTCAACAACAATCTTCAAAGCGTCTCTACTAATTATAATTATTTCTTAAAGACAGTTTTAATATATTTCTGGAAAAATGCTGATCTCAGTAGCGATAGATAGCAGAGCTTGGAAAATGGTCCGGATCACCATCTGTCATAGTGGATTGTTAACTCGGTTATAGCGCACGCATATCAAATCGTTCGTACGATGCGCGACGTACCTTAGCACGAAATGGGCAGCGCGGTAATGCGATTTGGATATATGGAGAGTCCTCTGGGATATTACCACCGCTGAGCTTTCTCCCCTGCGATACGACAAATGATATGCATATGTAAATACGGTGACCGAGCATTGCGAATCGGCCTAACGCTGGGAAATCTGATTTGCTAACCGTTCCACGAATATTCAGAAACTCTATTGCTATTTATTCTTAACGACTGCCTTTCAATCAACTTTTTCCTAACAAAAATTACAAGAACGAGCAGATTAATTAGAGATACACTGTTTCATTCCCAGAATGCATCTAATTCTCTGTTTTTATTTACGATGCTACTCTTTAAATGCTGTATATGATGTGATAAAGGAACGTTTAAAAGAAAAGTTATCTTGGGAGGAAAAGCGTTTTTCTCTGAATTGATCGAATGACCTCGAAATAACAGCCAGGGAGTTCGGTTTTATCTCACGGTCTTTCGCTCTATCAGCGGCGCTCGGATGATCCCGTTAACAGGATCAAGACTTGTGGCGCAGGCGAAGGGTTCTTGTTATTCGCAATCGCTTTCTCTGATCCTTAGGGAACGCGAAATCCCCCCTGGACGCAGCGAGAATTACCAGGAACGCTCGGATGTATTCATTTGTAGAATACACAATGAACAAAATTACTCGCCACCACCTATTCTATTAAACGTTTCCTTAATGAAATATCCTATTGATCTTCGACGCTTAATTTCATAAAAATTTGGAGAAGACGTTAATTTCATTTTATGTGCCTAACGTAATATTTTAAGTCTGTCTGAGTAATAATCCAGTACTCAATCATCATCAATAATTTACTTCACAATCATATACCAGAATATACATATTCTGATTCCGATTAAAAATTTCAAATTATGTCTGGTTTTATGGTGGCAAACTCGACTTGACGTCAGTACTCAGAATTTTTTAGTGCATTTAATTACAACGAGAATTTTAAGTTAACGACAGAATATCTAACGCGATGTTGTTGTAATTAATTAAACGAAGACGTCTTGGATACAGCTTAGTAATAATAAGCGTGTAAGACACCCGGCAGACTTCCAACCCTCTGGGTAACCCTCAGCCCTCGTCGGCGAACTAATGATTTGCAAACATCGTACCTCCGCTCGTTCTGCTCATTACAAAGTTTTTACTTGTGTTGCGCATGAACAAGTTGGACGTCTCCAAAAGTTTTGAAAAGATAAAACTGGGAAACCGCCGTTACACTACATTCACTTATTACAGTGGGCAAAAAATTAATCAATGACGCTTTTCAATTACGCGCGCGTAAAAATAATTGAGATTTTCCTCCTTATCAAATCTTACCGTTTCACGTTCGTCTGTTAACATCTTAATTAAACAATCAATAGGACGGTCAGACGTTTCACCCTAATTAAAAGATTATGCTATCGATTTTTCACGCGACGTCTATGAAAAAGAAGTATCAGTCGATCCGTATCGAGCTTATCAGATTAATTGCTTCTTCTTCCAAAAAAATCCAATACCGAGGCTACGTTGTCTTTATAATCAAAGCTACTGAATTTTCACGTGTATGTATATCTCAAACGTCATTCCCTTTGACTGAGCATTCGCATCCGATAAAGATCACTTCAATCATCCTTATCAACACGATACATCCAAGCATATATAAAGTGATCAGTACTCACAGTTCCCGTCAGTTATCCCGATTTCCCTGCGATCATGAACGCTCTCAGTGCAACACTTGTGCTCTGCCTTGCGGTCGCCGCTTACGGTAAGCAAATACTAATATACTCATAATTAAACAACGGACTTTATACATTTATAGAAATATTGCAAGAGATTCTCAATAGACTTCATGGTATTAAAATGCATTTCAGATAGAGATATTTNCATTTTTATCTGAAATGTATTTTAATACCATAAGATCTATTGATAATCTTTCGTCTTAAGCAGATTAAAGTTTCGATTATTATTGAATTTGGAGCAAGATTCCTAACTGAATTATGATTGTATTGTTTTATTTTTTAAATCTAGGCTTCCCCGGAGATGTGGACACCCAGATTGTCGGTGGCAAGGATGCCGCAGTTGGTCAATTCCCTTATCAAGTGTCTCTGAGGCAAAATGGACGTCACTTCTGTGGTGGATCTATCATTAACAACCGTTACATCCTCACTGCAGCTCATTGTGTCGAAGGGTACGTTTCAATTTCTATGTAATTTGCGTTTTACATGTAATTTGGAAGTTAGTTTGCCACTGAGTGCTCACAACTGTGTTTTGTTTGTTAAACAGAAGCAGCCCCAGCAAAATTACCGTACACGCTGGAACCACCAAAGTGGACCAGCCCGGAGATTCCTACGCAGCAGAGAAGATCGTTGCTCACCGCGACTATAGCTCGATCAGTCTCGTCAATGACGTGGCTTTGATTCGCGTAAATAAAAACATCGCGTTCACCAATTTGGTTAAACCAATCGAATTGGCTTCGGGCAGCAAAACCTACGAAGGATCTGCATGCATTCTGTCTGGTTGGGGTACCACCAGAGTAAGTAGAGAAGAAATATGTATTTTATGAAGAATTAACAAAAATTAGAGTCGGAAACTAGTGGAAATTTTTGTGAAAATAAAAACATGAAGATTTGACAAATATTAGAACCGGAAACGAATTAAAATTCTTATAATACTGACTCTGGCTAAATTACAATTTATGGTATAAGATTCTGGATAAATTAAAATTTCAGGTCAACGGAAACGTACCAACCAATCTACAATGGATTAACTTGGTTATCGAAACCAATGCTAAGTGCAAAAAGTCCCATTGGAGAGTGCAAGCCTCCCACATTTGCTCGTTCACGAAAACCGGTGAAGGTGCATGCCACGTAAGTATAATTGCTACAAATTCATAAAAACTTACTTTTTTAATTAAAGATATAATTAATGAGTTCATTATCAGTGTTCTTTCGGTTTTGCAAACTGAAATCAAACTAACTTAGAATCTTAGAAATAAAATATCTGTTTCACGAGAAACATTATTTAATTTGTAATTATAAGGTGTATATTAATTCTTTATTTTTTTTTAATTTAGGGTGACTCTGGCGGTCCCCTCGTTGTTGATGGAACTCAAGTCGGTATCGTCTCCTTCGGACAACCCTGTGCTGTCGGCAAACCTGACGTGTACACCAGAGTATCATCTTTCAATGACTGGATCAAGAATCAACAAAACTACATGAACCAGGATCTCCAAGAACCACCAGCGGACGGTGTCTACATTCTTTAAATCGACCGGTAAAATATTTCTCTACCAACTACCAACTTTCTGTATTAATTATAGAACGATTGATAAAATAATAACAAAAAATGCTGATAATATATTTATAATAAAAGATTGATATTCAAATGACTTCGCAATAAAAATTCTGAACATAAAGAAACTCGTATATTCATTACACGACTTCGTAATACCAATAATCGAGCATTTATAAATTATTTTCAAGTAAAAATCGAACAATGAGATTAACCTTATGGTGACAATTAAATCGATAATTACTCGATATTAATTAATATCAAAACACTTAGAATATTATTTATTTACTTAAACTTTTCAAACGATATGTGATATTTGGGACATCAAAATCTAGTTGAAAATATAATTAACAAAATTACCGTCGCAATAACTAAACACCAAAGAGAGATTACTAAATAGTGGCAGTCTTTAGAGCATATTGCTACCGAAATAAGAAATAGAAAACAAAACACTCGTCGATGCCGTACAGTAGGTCCCATTCACCGTCCTAACGATTACACAAGCATTTTCACTATTTAAGGATGTATTGGCTATACAGTCAATCCCAAAAGTTTA